CCTGAGTAAAGTGTCATGGCACCATAGCTCATAGCAACCTCAAATTCTTGGGCTTGAGCAATCCTCTTGCCTCAGCCCCCTGAGGAGATGGGACTACAGGTATGAGTCACTACATCTGGCTAATTTTTCTATTTTTACTAGAGACAGGATCTTGATCTTGCTCAGGCTGTTCTCGAACTCCTGAGTTCAAGCAATCCACCTACCTCAGCCTCCAGAGTGCTAGGATTACAGGTGTAAGCCACCACGGCCACTGGCCATCAGACTCTTCTTTACGAAATAAATAAATAAATGACTCTGGATACCAGGTAGGTAACTAACACCATAGGGATAACAGTAAAAAGAGACTGGATGAATTGTTGCAAAAAACCATCTTGCCATACCAAGATACTTTTCGGGAGAGAGCCTATTCCAAGCTCTGCATAAAACTAGGTTAACCTAGCAGCATAAAGTATGTTACTGGCCTCTGACAGGTTACAATGTTGGTGTGTAACATATTTAAGCACAATTAATATATGTAAATACATAATTTGTGCAGGGCATATATAATAATTTAAAATGTGATTTTAAAATAAAATTTTATTCTATTATCAGTAGAATCCTGAAGCATCTTCTCCAATCCCTAGAACACTAGAATGATTTGAAAATCCTTATGCTGTACTATTGATAGACTGACTTTGCACCTCCCTGGGGCTCACTTCATCATCAATCAGGAGCTTAGGAAAAAGAAGCATTTATTAAAATCTTTGATATCTGCTGCTATCTTGATGAATGTTTTTAAGCAAACCATTTTTGCCTCAAAATTATTCATGCATTAAAAAGGAGGCTAATGATACTGTCCCTGGGATGTTCCACAGGCTTATCAAATGCAAAAATACCTCAAGCTGAACCCTTCATCCTCCCCTCCAGGTCTGTTGTCTCCACCCCCTCTCAGGAAATTACATTATTGCTGGGAGAAACCAGGAAATCATCCATTCTTCACTGTCCTTCCGTCCCACCCAATCAAGAACCCAGACCCACTGAATACTCCACCTGAAGAGTTCCTGAACCCAGCTCTTCGGCAGGGCCCCACACCATCACTAGACTTTTATCATATACTTTGTTTGTTTGAGACAGTGTCTCACTATGTCACCCTCAGTAGAGTGCCGTAGCACAACAACTGGTGATTTTTTTGTTGCAGTCGTCATTGTTGTTCAGCTGGCCCTGGCCGGGTTTGAACCCGCCAGCCTGGGTGTATGTAGCAGGCGCTGTAACCACTGTGCTATGGGCGCCGAGCCATCATACACATTTTTTTTAGTATCTGATGAATGTGATGAAACCTCGACCTTTAACAATGCACACATACACAAAGATTGGCATACAACTTAAGGAACTCACAAACCTGAAGATAACTCCATGGAGGAGAGACCCTACCCCTCTAAATCTACCACCACACTTCAGCCAAAATGATTAAAATGGTTTATTTCGAACACATATCTGATGCCACTAGCCTGCTTAAACCTCTTTCACTGGTTCCCCAGCGTCAGAGACTGAAGCCAAAGCTCTTGGGCAGGACGTGCAAAGTGCTGGGCTACCTCCCTTTCCAGGCTGATCAAACCACAGCTCTTAGGCTCTCAGGAATGCAAAGCTTCAGGAGGTTCTCAGCAGGCACCAGGCTCCCTGTAGCCCTGCTTTGCTCCTGTACTCCCTCTGCCTGCAAAGCCCTTCACCTTTTAGCCACTTGGCTACCTCTCACCTCTCAGAACTCATTTCAAGCTGCTTCTCTTCTAGAAAGCCTTCCTTGGACCTCTATGTTGGGCTAAGGGACCCACAGATGGAGGGCACACCCCGATCACAGCATGACAGTCTGCTACGGTCTCCTTGGAACTATCTCACTATCCAAAGTGCAGGCTCATCAAAGGCAGTTACTCACCACTGCACATGCAGGGCGCAGCGCCGCCTGGCAGAGGACATGCTTAACGACCCTGAACTTCTTTGGAGGTGACACCCAAATAACAACTCCCATGCACCACAACACACCTGCCACGTGTCATGCACTGGGTGCTACAGATACCTACAACCGGCTCTGACCAGCAACAGTCCGGTACGGCAGTCCCTTCCAAATCAGGAGGACAGAGAACCAAGGGATTCAGTCACCTGTCTAAAGTCACCAGGTAAAGAACGGATGAGGCCAAGTTTCGGACGTAATAGAGGTGGCTCCAAAGCGCTCCCCAGATACCGCTGCTTCACAACGTGTTTGTCACTGTCACGGAGTGCCGGCCACGTGCTGGGTGCGGAGGATGTGACAGTAAACCAGGCTGACACAACCCCCACCCTAACGCAGCCGGGAGAAGGCTGAAGCTGCGCAGAGAAAGGGCGAGTACAAAACAGGAGCGCGCTTCAAGTCTCGCCTCCCCACTGGGGGCCAGACTCCGCAGGTCCGGCCTAGAAAGCCAGCCCCGTGGCTCGGTGGCTGCCACCCCGGCGCCAATACCCGAGTGGCAGGGCCAGATCCGATCCCCTGGCGCCACAGGGGCGGCGGCCCTCAGTCACTCCAGCGCAATCCTCCACCTCCTACCCGCGTCCGTCCCCGGGGCTTTGGGGGCGAAGGCGGATCCCCGAGGACACCGTGGGGTCCCCCACGGCCCCACCCATCCGTCCCGGCTGCGGCCACCGCCCTCGGGGCCGCGTTCCCGCCAGCACGCGCTAGCTTGGCCCCGGTGGGGCAAGGGCCAGGGTCGCTCACCTCGCGGCCGCGGACCCATCCCTGGGGCCGCCTGCGCTTCGTGGGGAGTTGGAGAGCCTCAGCCTCCGGTGCCCGGGCACCTAGCCCAGTCCCTTACTCCAGCGCCAGCTTTTCCAGCCCGCCTCCCACGTTCACCGGGCCCCGCCTCCGACACTTGGCGCAGGCGCAGTCTTCACAGTCCGAGCTGGGTTCCCGGACTCGGTGCCGGGGGGAACCTCGCAGCCGGGTTCCCCGACCGGAAGTCGAGGGGAGGCGCCAAGTGCGGCGGGCTCCGGCGTGCCGGAAGTTGTGCTCTAAGTGAAGGGTTTTTTTCCTCCTTTTTTTGCTGGTGGCTGTGCTTTCAATTTAGAAAGACTCGGGTGGTCTGTTCTTCACTACGGCTTCACCCTCAGATTTCCGGGATGTCTGCGATTCCTGCGGAGGAGAGCGACCAGCTGTTGATCCGACCCCTGTAAGGGACCAGCGGGAGAGGGAGGGAAGCTACGGGCTGTGCGAGCGGCGAGGAGGGGTAGCCCGCGCGGCCGGCCTCCCCGGCGCCGCCCCAGCCGGCCCCCCAGCGGGCCGCAGCTGCCCGCCCTGGGTCCGCGGCCGCCGGCCAGGCCTCTCGGGCTCAGGGGGTTCGGTTGAACGGAGCTGGCTTTTTCTTTAATGTCAGGGGAGGGTATGTTAGAGTTGGGAAGGAGAATGTTTTCGGGTCCCTGGGCGCCTTGGTATCAGCTAAAACGTGTTGTCAGTTACCGCCAACACGACTCTCTGCGCATCAGGTCGGACCGGGAGGCAACCGGTGATGCTGATGAGCGACCGGCTGGGAGGAGGAGCTGAATGAGCCTGTAAGCGTGCAGGGAAGAACTAAATGTGTTTCTTAAAACCTCCAGGACGTTGGCTTGGCGCCTGTGGCTTAAGCAGCTAAGGCGCCAGCCACATACACCTAAGGTGGCGGGTTCAAATCCAGCCCGGGCCCGCCAAACAACAAT